GCGTGTAAATCAAACCCAACGTGAAGACTTCCAGGGCAGCCCCACATCTCAAACACCCAGGTCTGAAACTTACCCGAAGCAGGGCTCCTGTGGGGCACAAAGAACTGCCTTCCACATTGTTCGCTCCGTAAAGCGCTTTACTGAGTCTATTTTCTTAAATACGTCTTGTAGGGCGCAGCACCTACCAGCCGATAAACAACTGCAGGCTACCCTTGAACTCAAATGAACACTTTGCTGCAATTCTTTTCCTTAAATAGAATCATAGGCTATGAGAATAGCAGATTCCTTCGAGATCAGTTAGAAGAGCGCTCCTCAACCTTGGCTATGCATTAGAAACGCTTGTGGAGCTTTTGAAAACATACAGAGGCCTAGGTCCCCACCCCAAACCAATTAAGTCAGACTCTCAGTGGGGAGGGGTATCTCTGTCTCTCATTAGCTCCTGGGGGGGGGGGGGGAGGTTTGTGCTGGGCTGGGAGGATTAAGAAGCACTGACACAGACATGCACTGTCTGACACCATAGGCCCGGGTCACAGTGGGCTTTTGCACTTGCATTGTGGCTAGCCCAAACCCAGCTCTGCTGTAGTTGTAAAACACACACTGCATCGCAAAGATTTAATTAAAAAAAAAAAGACACAAAGTCTCGTTGACATCTTGTACTGACTGTATGCTAAATGACAATATTTGGGATAGACTATATGAATACAATTATTAAAATCAATTTCATCTGTTCATTTTTATCTTTTGAATGTAGCTACTAGAACAGTTAAAATTATATACAAAGGGGCTTCAAAAAGTTCATTGGAACAGGGAATTAAGAGATGTTTGTTGGTGCAAAAAAGCTTTAAAAATCATGCCGTGTTTTTTCCTTAACGTGCATTTTCCATGAACTCTGAAGTCCCCTGGTACGTAGCGTGCATCTGAGGCTCCTGCTTTTGCCCAAAGTCTTTTATCACAGATGAAGAAATGGAGGCAGAGGAGCAAGGATTCCAAGGCAGCGCTTCAGCAACTGCCCCTTTCAGTCTTGGGATTTCCTTCTTTGCATAACCCATGCTTTAACAGAGCCGTGGACGGCAAAGACGGGGATGCCATCAACAGGACTTCAAACCTGTCCCTCGTTATTTTTTTTTAACACTTGATATTAAAAATCGATTTCTCTTTTGGAAAAATACCCTCTCTCTGTCAGGCACACACTTGTGATTTGTTATTCTAGGGTTACTCATGAAAGCAAGGCAGCTGGAGTGGTTGCTAAAAAACAAGTTTAGAGACACATTAGCAGGAAGGGAAATGCAGAGAATGAACCAGGAGAACGGTTTACCAGGTTGCAGAAGAGAAAGGACCCTGGAAGCCTCAGCATTCTGAGAAACATCTTGGACACAGTAGGAGGGTGCTTCAAAAAGATCGTGGAAACATGGAATTGAACGATAAGCTTATTTAATAAAAAAATTTTTTTTGAATTCATTCCCAGTGTTTTCGAAACACACATTTTTCCATGCACTTCTGGAAGACCCTGTTCAGCATGTACAAGCCTGGGCCCTTACTGTGGCTCTTCCTCCCCAAAGTCCATGAGTCCTGGACAATGCTACTGCAGCAAGGTGCGCCTGGCCCGTCAGAGCCGCACGCCATTTCACACCGAGGAACCCTGGTGGGAGGGGATTTTGTCCGCAATGCCTTCCAGCCTCTGATGCGCGCACAATTACTGCTCCTCCGATAGCCAACTTCCCCCAAAGGAAAACATTTTGTTCTGATAAAACAAAATGGTCCTGACCAAACTTGCACATTAAGTGCATTTCTTCCAGTAAACAGCTAATTCAAACCAAAAAGAAAAAAAAAAAAAAACCCTATATTTTGTTGCCTATGTTCCCCCCCCACACACACACACACCTTGGGAAGCCAGCAGAGAGAGAAATGCCTAAAACTGGCTGAAATGTGTTTTACCGGAGAAATCACACTACAATACAGGGCCCCCTCAGTGTAGTAAAAGAATAAAAGAGACCTGAATTCTAACATAAAACCTTCATGCAAAGAGCTGGAAAGGGAACTGCTGGGCCGGGCCAAACAACACACATGGTGCAGGCATTGGAGGTTTCTAGTTAGATATTGTAATGCCCCATCTTCAATACAGCATTGAGAATTGAGAATCATCTCAATTCTAATGCTTGTGGCTCTGAAGCCCTCTGATTTGCATGCATGGTTCCTGTTCCTACTGATGAGTCAAGTTTTACCAATCAAATTGCAAAGAGCAGGCTCCCAGACTCAACTCGCTTTTCAGATAATAACGTCCACCTCCAAGCATTCTCATATATGCTGACCCGGGAAGATAATATATGACAGATTGGTTCTGGGCAAAACACACCTGCTAGAGTGAAAATAGTTTTTGTTGCTCTATAACATAAAAGTATTTCTTGGGTTTGAAAATGATTTTTCAGATCCTTTTTTTAAAGATGATGAAATTCCTGCCTTCATCTGAGATGGTTTCAGCTTATTTTTAGTCCTACTAGTTTTGCTCTCAGAGGAAATCTGGACAGCATAATTTTCAATTTTAGTAATAGTAGTGAAGAAAAAAAAATTAAGTTATGGTCAATTTGGGAGGACTACATTAGAAAAAGTAACGTGGCAGTTAGTACATAAGTGGGATAGAAATTGCAATGATGTGATCAAGGCATCCATTCACAAGTTCTGATTAAAAAAAAAAAAGCGCCATTGAAAGGTTGATTGCAAAAGACATGAAAAGAGCAGAGCATTCAAAGCCATGGGTTAAGCTCCACTTGTGACCGTGGCGACCATGGTAGTTTGGCTCCTGAAAACAGAGCCCAGCGTGGAGGCAAGGTCCCCAGCTGCGTGCCTTGGGTGAGCCAGGGGACACCCGCAAACCTGGGGGTCTTCTCTATAAGGGAAGAGGTGGCATTGACAGAAGGGTCTCCCCGCCCTTTGATTTCACTGGCAGGATCTCCAGGCCCAAAGGACCCCTTCTCCCTCCCCAAGACCAGTGCAAGGCAAACATCAAGGGGGGGAACATTCACTCCTCGCTCATTCCAGGGTGGAGATTAGAAATGTGACCCTTAGGGAAATAGGAGAAGTGGCAATATGTATTTCTAAAGTGATAAATTGATCCTGATCTATTTCTCAGATGAGAAAAGGGAAACCAGAGTGAACATGGAGGAAGAAATCTGAAAATGTCAATGTAATATATGTTCAGAAATTTATCCTAAACTCTATGTTCTCTGAAAACCAGAGAAGCCTCAGTAAGGGCTGCACGAACTTTCCCCGTGTTTCTGGAAGCACGTTACCACGAACTGCACATTCTAAAAGCTTGCTGTCTCGTTTTAGATTTTCTTATGTTAAATCCATGATTTGTGATTCCCAACAATGGAATACTAATGGATGCTCAAAAAACACTAATTGCCCATTTTTTTTCCTAATTACAAAATGTAATAACTCTTTCATGAAAACATTAACCATGATGTCATTTTAAAGTGCCAGACTTCCTATTGAAAACACTGCCGCAAAATAGATCGCTTATTTGGTTTACAAATAGCAACACAAAAAGGTTTTTTAAATCTGTGCCGCATATCTGGAAATGCGTATTTCTCACATTTAATATTGGAAGCTACTGCCCCCCCGTTATTACCTTATCTCAATTGCATAACTTTGTAAAGTAGAATTCAAAGAAATAGTCCTAGATTTAAATCTTTAAACACTAATGTATAGAAGCATTGGTGGATTCCTGTAGTCAAACTGGACAAGATAATGAATTGACTGAGATCATTGTTCCATCTTCATCCAAGAAAGCTGCCTCTAAAAAAAGATCTTAAATTGCTGAAGAAATCCAATTTGTAAGAAGCATATAGATGGGAAACACCAGCCATGATCACATTAATTCTGTGACTAACGGCATTGCTTTGAAGTGAAGAAGACAAAAAAAAAAAAAAAAAAAGACAAAAAGAGCAAGTGCACTCACATCCCAATTTTAATCCAATGATACAACTTAAAGACAAAGTTCACATGTTGGCGATGCAGCAAGCAAACATCACACGCTAGCAGAATAACTTTCTGCTTCCTAAGAAGATACCTCCCTGGCTAAGGAAATACTGCAGAATGGAGAGGAATGGTTGCTGAAAGTCAGTCCCAGTGAGAACTCAGGAGAGAAGGGATCTGACAGCAACAGGAAGAACCATGGAGCTACCACCTCTTCAAAGAGAAGCTGCAAAGTCTCAGAGATGGAGAAATAAAGGCCTGGTTTCTCCCGCTTTGTAGGAAAACTCAGGTATCAAGCCTGTAAAGGCACAACTGACTTACAATTGACAAGCCATCTGTAGCTACCAGCAATTAACATGCAAAAACAGCTGAAATGGAGGTACTATCAACGGAGCAAACATGTCTACTCCAAGGAAAGCTGAAAAATCAAAACCTATGTGATTCAGTAAGCATTTTTAAAGTCATGAGTCCTTATAAAATGGAAAAGCAAAGGAAAATAAGTCAATTTATGGGGAGACACAAGTGAGTTCCTTTGTTTGTTTTTAAGTCTTAAAACTAACGGAAGAGCTGATACACAGTCAAGCATCCTTCCTCAGGATCACAGGGGTCTAGGTTTGGAGGTAGAAAATATCTTCCATTGTTTTTGTTGATTTTTTAGTTTTCTTTTTAAAGCACTCCTTTCTTATCAAAACTTCATTACTTTTGGAAGTGACTCATGAAAGCTCCCGAAAAAGGGAGTCTTACCTAACACATGACTTACGGTGCCTCCCCGCCACTCCATTGTAGTCCACATACATGCTCATGAACATATTTTACTCCATAAATAATTCTCTTATTCACACATGCACAACCTTACACACCACACCAAATGCTACAAGTCCCAGGAAACTGACAAAAGCAACATCAAAATTCTGCACAAAATAAGAATTCCATTTCTGCAATCTGTGAAAATAACGAGAGTGCGACTATCGGACCAAGTGCAAAGTTTTTTCGCAGCTTCCCAAGCGTAATCAACATCACCTTACCATTATCTGCAGAAGAAAACCAGCCACGTGTTGCTTCCTGCAGTCTCCAAGTTTCTTTCTAGCAACTTCTCTTTCTCACCAGCAAGATCGGGAAGAAAATCAGTCTGAGTACCCGCCTCAGTATTTCAGAGGAGAAGATTGTGAAACCAGCTCTCTGTAGACAGAGCAGGTCTGGGGTTTTTACAATCACTCCTACCACTCACTTAGAGGGACCTCCTTCCCTGCCTCGCTCTCTAACTCTCAGTAATGAGACTAATTTTTCCAGTAGCCTCGAACTCCCTAGATTTAACGGACATGGAAAATGTGACTACAAACTTGTAGAACTGTCTAGCCTCCAACCTTGCACAGAAGCAACTTTGTGGGCGCGGAGCACCTCGCAAGCAGCTACACGCTCAGTTGAGGCTCCTACACTGTGCAGCGCAGAACACCAAATAGCAGTGCGCCATCTAGTTAGCAAGCAACAATCTCCATGCCGGGGGGCGGGGGGGAGGGGGGACACCTTCGCACCCCGGGAGCTCAGAGCATGTCAGCCGCTCTAAAGGTCCAATTGTTTATTTAAATAAAAAAAAAAATATCGCTACGGAGATAATCCACATCGAGTGGATATGGGAAAGTTTAGGTTATAATGGCACTACAAACTTTTACATCTAACTTTGATTTACAAGATAAAAGCAAGTTTTAAATTAAAAGGGCTTTCTGTTAATAGAGCTTATTATTCTGAGGAAGGGAATGATTTTCTTCGAAAGTTGTCCCTGGGTGCATGCCTATTATCTTTGCTTTTCCCCTTCCACTAATGAGCATTCATCTAAAGAGCCTGTTAATCCTCTGATGTGTGCTTCTGGTCAGAGGTAACAGTTTGAATAAAACCACTAATCACTGATCACTAAATCACTGATCATTAATCACACCCTCCAGTGCCTGTGACCCGGGCCGTTTTTCCCTCTAGCTCTATGCATCACAAACAAGAAATTGAACATTTTCGACGCGCGTGTATTGTGCGGGGGGCATACGATTGCGTCTCTGTCCCAGCATCAGTCACAAACGGCGCCACGAACAGGAGTGAGAACGCGGCCCGGAGTCGCACCCACGCCTACCCCCCCCAGCACCGCTTTCGCTCAGAAGCGAATCAAGGCTGCTAACGAAACGCGGGGTCACCAGGAGGGTGCCCCAGATGCAGAAGACAACCTCGGCTTCTGCTGGTTTGCACAGACTCCACATCAGAGCGCGTTCTCTCCGTCCCTCCTAATTCCTCTTGGTAATTGTGTGTGTGTGTGTGTGTGTGTGTGTGAGTTTTTGCTGCACATCTACGTCCCCGCCCCCTCCCAGAAGGTTCTTTTCACTTGGAGCCCTCGAACAAGTCACGCACAGGGGTCCTGTCTCAGCTGCCAGAGACGGAGACTGACTCTCCGTTCCAAGACTTGGGCGTTCACCGCTTTAAACGCGCAAACTTCGCAACGCGCGCGGCGATTTGTCGCGCGGTCCTCTGCACGCCACGGCGCGCTCGGCCTCGCTTTGGAAAAGAAAGGGCTCATCTTGCTGTTCTCAGCCAAACTTGGTGCAGCCCCCGCCCAGCGTCCCGGCCTCCCCGGCTCGGCGCCCAGGGTGCTGCCGGGGACCGGCGCCCTGCTCGCGGCGGGGGCGGCGCTCTCCCGAGTGACCCCGGGACCCAGAGCGTCCCGGGGCGCCTCTCCCGGCGGGGCTGAGCACCTTCACCCCCGGAGAGGAGGGCTCGCCAGGCGCCGCGCGTAAATAACGGAAGAGCCCGGCCTGCGCGCGCGTCAGGTGCCACGGTCCCCGGGCAGCCCCCAGGCTCTCAGCCGCGCTCCGGCGACAACCCGCGCCCCAGGGAGCGCCGCGGAGGGCGGGGCGGGGCCGCAGCGGTAACGAGGTGGGCGGGGGAGGGCCGGGGAGGAGGGGTCGGGACCCAGAGGGCGCTAAAGACGCCCCGGGAGCCGGCCGGGGCGCCCGGGCGCGGGCGGGGGCGGCGGGCAGAGCTGCTTTGTCAGCATTCTGGACCCCCGAACCCTGGAGTCTCCGGAGCTGGCCTGCAGAATGACGTCATGGAGCTGTAGGCAGCCCTGTGTTCCTTGACACATGTCAGAGAGGGAGGGAAAGACGAAAATCAAACACACTGCAGACTGACCACGCCGGGTACCAGCGCCCCCCGCAGCTCCCCACCCGGAACGAGCATCAGGTGGAGGGGGAGCGGCCCGCGCAGGGGGCTGTCCACAGGGTCGGGGGCCGCATCCAGCCCCAGCCCTCCCTGCAAAGAAATCCGCCGGGGAGAAGGCAAAACACGCGGCCCCCGCCGGGAGCGAAGGTCTGCTCGGTGCCCGCGCGGCTGGCGCCTCCCAGAACTTGGAGAAAAGTTGAAGCGTTTGGGTCCCGAGTCCGCCGCCGCAGAGCTGAGCGCTGCCCGGGCGCCGCCGCGGCTCCAGCCCGAGCTGTCATTTGTGGGCAGCGGCGGGGACGAGGTGGAGATGCCGGAGAGGAGGGCCCTGCGCAGGGGGGCGGCTGCGGGCGCACGGGGCGCGCGGGCCGGCGCAGAGCCTGGCCGCGGCCGAGCCCGCAGCGGCCCCGGGCAAGCGCCCTCCGAGGGCGACCTCCCGTCCCGGGCCGCGCGCCCCCGGCTGCGGCGGCGGCCCCGCGGGGGAGGTGGCCGTGCGCTCCGGCAGGGAGTCCTGGCCGCGCCCGCTGCAAGTTTGCAAACTTTCTCCGGGGGAGGCGGGGAGCGTTCGGCCGCATCTCTGGGAAGAGCCGGGGACGCGGGGGGAGGTTCCTGGCTCGCCGTCTCCGCCGCCGCCGCCGCTTCACCACACTTCTGGAGGGCTCCGCACCTTGCCAGGTCTCTGGAGGCAAACACACACCCCCCGGTTCACAACTGTCCCCCGTGCAGGGAAACGCGCGCGCTGCCACACGCGCACGCACGCCGGGGCGGCCGCGGCGCGGGCTCCACGTTAGCATCCCTGGGCGCGCGGCTCAGGCGCGGGCGCGGCGCGGGCTCTCCGGGGCGGCCTGCGGGCGCGGCGCACTTCCACAGTCGGGCGGCATCGGGCCGGAACCTGCCGCCGGCCCGCCGCACTGTTTACAAACACAGCTCGCCCTGCCCGAGCTGCAGCGCCTCTGCCCCGCTCCTTGCCCTGTGACCTGCGCCCCGGCCCCGGGCAGCTGGCGGCTGCCGCCGAGAGCCAACCCCTGCAAACGAGCGCGCGCCGGAGATGGCTCCCGCGGCAAGTGCAGCAAAAGTGCCTCCGTGCAAACGCCCCAGAAGTGGCCGAGCCGTATTTTTAGGAACTTACCAAACAAGTGTGGAGAAGGCAAGAGCCGAGCCCGGGTGAAGGGACCACGTTGGACTGAGCAAAGATTACAATACATTCTATTTAGAGTGCATTACATCACCCCCCCGGTGACGTCACGTGGGATTCCTGAACTTCTAAATCATTGCGGTCCGCGGGGGAGGGCGGCCGGGGGGCGGGGCCGGGGAGCGGAGGGGGCGGGCCCCGCCCGGGCCCCGCCCCGCCCCGCGCGCGGACCCTGGTGCCCCCGCCGGCGAGCAGCGGCGGCGGCGGCGGCGGCGACCGCGCAAGCAACAGCTTGCAGAGCCCAGCGCCGTGTGACACGGCTCCCTGACATTAGTGGTGTGAGTCAGCCTGGAAACAATCCCGATGCTTTCACACAGGACCACGGAGGAGGCAGGGGCGCTCCTGCGGGGAGGGCCTGGGCGGGACGGGGGGCTTGGGGGCGAGGTGGGGAGCGGATGCTGAGGATGTAGGATGAGACTTTGTGCAAGCGCCAAGTGCAGGGCGCTCCCCTCCCCCCACTGGAGATGTCCGGCTCCTTTCTGCCTGCGCCAGTCCTGACCTCATTACGGTGTTCGCTGCATCCTGGCTGCTCCCACGCTCCTCCTCGACGCCCCTCCTTCACCGCCCCCAGCCCACTTCCCCGTCCCGGGAGGAACGTCCTTGTGCTGCGCACTCAGGAAGAGCGCACAGCCCCCCGCTTCCCAAGACCCCCGCTCCCTGCGTCTGGGAAGCTGTGTGGAGAGCAGCTCCCGTACGCGAAGGTGAGTCACAGCTAATCCGAAGGTTGGGCCTGATTTAGGCTGGGCGTCAGAGCCGGAAGGGCCCTTGGCGATCACTTCCACAGCCTCCTGGGCGACCGGCCCAAGTTCACCGGCTGGGAAGCGCCAGAGCCAGGGCCAGACTGCAGGTCTGCGGCAGAGAGCAGCCTGGCATGTGCAGCGCCGTCGCTATCACCAGCCTGGCTTCGTTTCCTTTCCCAAGTTTTCCCTGGGAGTCTGCCTCCAAGGCGAGGCCTAGGCTGCCTTCTCGGTTGATCCGGGACCACCACGTGCACCCTTGGGGCAGTTCTCAGTGGGCAAAGCAGTTGCACCCGCGTGAACTCCTTGTTGTCTCCCGACAACTCCCGCGCAGTAAGGATGAGGAGGACAAGTGTTGTAACCATCCCGGTTTTGCAGGTGAGCCACGGCCGGCTCCAGAAGGGTCCTGGGCTGGCCTGAGGTCACTGGATGAGCAAGCGGTGACCCTGGGGCTAACCCAACCCCTGTTTTCCACGCTGGATCCCAACTGGACTTCTTCGTAGAAGCAAGCAAGTGCTTGGGTCGGTGGCGGTCAGACCCTCTGGGAAGAATGTGTTGCCTGGGATTTGGATCTTTGCTTAGGGATGGTTTAGCCCCCCTCGCCAATCCACATTCCTGACACATGGGTGATGCCTCTGTTGTCACCCCCACCCCGGCACATCACCACCACGATGATGCGCTCTGCCCAGAATCAGGACTGCACTGGCTGGAAACCTGGCTGCTTTGCATGCATGGTCGCTTCCCAGCTGCTCTGGGCACATTCAACACAAGAGCTGTGCATACCTCTTCCAAGGGTTTAAATGACCCCCTCTTAGTGTTGCTTGAAACCACAGGGACCAGACTCTCTCCCTCACACCCCTGCAGTTGGTTTCTCTGCTCTGCATGGAGCCCCAAGGGACCTCCACAAGAAGGTCCCCAGGGCGAGCCTGAACCTTGCTGAGTGGAACTGTCACTAGGACAGCTGCCTCATCTGGGCTGATGGAAAGGAGCAGCACCCACTAGGAACAGGGTTCGTGCCCACGCTCCGACTCCATTGCCAGTACCACGTTTTCCACCACAGGCAGGGATCGGCTTCCTTCTGCTCGGGAATAGCATTAAGTACTAGTGTAAGCCAGACAAGGAACAAACCTGAGGCAAAATGCGGGAGAGTGAGGACACAGAGCAACAGATCAGAGCTCATTCTCTCTCTCTCTCTCTCTCTCTCTCTCTCTCTCTCTCTTTTAAGATTTATTTATTTGGAAGTCAGAGTTACACAGAGAGAGAAGCATAGTGGGGGGGGGTGTCTTCTATCTGCTGGTTCACTCCCCAATGGGCTGCAAAGGCCGAAGCTGGGCTGATCCAAAGCCAGGAGCCAGGAACTTCTTCCAGGTCTTCCACACAGGTGCAGGGGCCCAAGGACTTGGGCCATCTTCTGCTTTCCCAGGCCATAGCAGAGAGCTGGATTGGAAGTGGAGCTGCCGGGACTCGAACCAGCACCCATATGGAATGCTGGCTTTGCAGGCGGCAGCTTTACCCGCTATGCCACAGCCCCAGCCCCAGAGCTCATTCTGACAGCTCGTCTTTTCCCCAGCTGACAGGTGCGGACCACAGGAATAGAACGGAGAGCTGAATAAGCAACCCTGGGTATGAATCAAAATATTTTAGATCCTGTAAGTAATCAACATATAAATTTAAAACATTTAATGTCCCTGGTATTCTGGAAACCAGGGGTGGGGAACGTCCAGCCCACAGGCCATATAAGGCCCATGAAATCATGTGATCTGGCAAGCGCAGGCAGCACTCAACATTTAATAAATGTATAATGGGCTCATTTTTAACTTGATTGTTTTGTATGGCCCACGAGTGATGTTGTAAATATCCAAATGGCCCTCGGCAGAAGTGAGGTGTCCCACCTCTGCTTATATATAGGAGCTTTCACACAACTGGTTCATCAGTTTTAATACTACCCAAATCATTTGTTGATCTTCAGAAGTTACTGCCAATTTTTGGTCTAACGTGCTGTGGCTAGCAGATGGTGCCCTGTCTGAGCCATGATTTGACATAGGACCACTCAGCAAATTTCCCAGTGGCCTCCCCAGTAACTTCATAATCACTACGTTGCTTGCGGCCTCACTCAGTGGAAAACTTCTATTTTTTCATTTTTAAAATATTTTTGAAGATTTTTATTTATTTGAGAGGTAGAGTTACAGACAGAGAGAGGGAAAGACAGAGAGAAAGGTCTTCTGTCCACTGGTTCACTCACCAGATGGCCACAACAGCTGGAGCTGGGCCGATCTAAAGCCAGGAGCCAGGAGCTTCTTCTGGATCTCCAATGCAGGTGCAGGGGCCCAAGGTTGGGGCATCCTCCACGGCTTTTCCCAGACCACTAGCAGGGAGCTGGATTAGAAGTGGAGCAGTGGGACATGAACTGGTGTCCATATGGGATGCTGGCGCTGGCCCTGAGAACTTCTCTTAACCACAGCAGTATTAGTTTTGGGAGAGATTCCTTTCCCAGCTTCTGCTCAACCAACAGCAATTTCCTTCAAAACATTTCTAGCCCTTGTATTACAAACTGGGATTTTTATGTAGTGCAGCTCTCTGTTACCAACTGTCAAATACAAAAATCTTCTTTGAACATAAGCAGAAGAGAGACGATGTTATGAGGGTGGAATCTATTGTCAGCCTGAGTTTAAATCCAGCTCTGCCACTTGAGTTTTACATAGCCTTGGGGTCCCAGTTTCCTTATCTACATAATAAGATAGTAGTGACAATTACAGTAACTCAGGAATGACGTCACCTGTATTAAGAATTGTGGTTGGCACAGGTCAAGTACCCTGTAAGCGTTCACCTTCTTTTTATTAAAGAAAATGCAGTGGTTCATGCTGTGATAGGTGAGCATTGCATGATTTTAGCAAATGTAACCAAATAAATGAAAAGGGAACCTGTGACCCCATGACCCCCCAGCCTGGCACTGTCCTCTGCATG